TGACTCGACAGCAGAAAAGAAGGTGAAAAAATAGACAACTGGATTACAATGAAGGTATATCATTTTGGAGAACTTTGACATTATTATAAAAGGACTGTGGCTTTATACTAAAACCGAAATTCCAAAACATCGCATCAGACAAGGATCTTAATATCTTCAATTCACGTACGATATCATACTGTAGATACATGATAAAGTACTGACCTAATATCRTCTCACATAGCAGTTCCCTTCCCATATTGGTATACTGAATCACATCCTCTGCGAGCTCAGCTGTCTCTTCATCCACGAATTCCACATCTTCTTCCTCGGGAATCACAGTTTCGTATTCTTCCGTGTTCTCCCAAGGATCTGTTGCTCCTTCAATAAGGCTCTGTGCCCTGTGTCTTAGCTCCTTTCGACGCCGTCTCTTCTGTGAAGCTATTTCTTTTGCTTTACTTTTATCTGGTTTGTCCGCCATGTTGAAACCCAGACAAACCGTAAGGTCCTGGGCACGAGTATATTTAATCGATATTTAATTCATGACTTATTTTTTTATTCGATATGATTTTTTGATAATTTAAAACATGATTCTTAGAGAATCTAGCAATTCTAGATCTTTTAATTTTGAAATTAATGTCCTAAATCAAGCCTTGGATTACCTGCAATTTTCAATCGATATTTAATTAATCAAACTAAAGGCTCGAGCTCAGCGGTTTTATAGCATGAGGCATGCGTAGTGCTAATATTAGAGGTATTTTTAATGGCGCGCACTGGAATAAAACTGGTCGAAAGTGGTTCAATTTGATCACGTAATATTCTATTTATTCCTACTATTGGCCTTTATAAGCACAATAAAAACTAGAGTGGACTCTACTTTATCGAAGATTTGTTTGACAAGCCTTTAAAAGCGTTATTTCAAGCAATATTGGTGTGAAATCTTCTTCAAGTTTGGCAGATAGATCCTMACGTGTTGAGTGAAGTTATATTCGTTATTTCTCGATTTATTTTACGATTATTTGTCTCCCATATGATGGATTTTCACTGATCGCAAGTTTTTGAGGTAAAGTCATGYTTGCAAGCACTGCCAAGACGCCATTTGGCGGAGGATCCACGTTTGGTACCGGAACAAGTAAGTTGAAAATCCTAACGAATCTTTTTACTGTACTTCTCAAGAAAACCTCAAATACTCGAATCTTGTCGTAAATACTTTACTTATCTGTGATTTTCTCGTATTTATTATGAAGTAAAAATCAAGAAAAGTCCTTGATATAGGTGTTTGTTATTTTAGTTTTTGTMATGTGAAGTTGTTATAACTATTGTACATACATTGGAAATGTATTTTAGATTCGACCAGATGTCAAAATGAAAGTGAAACCAAATATAAGGCTTTGAATATTGTTGTCAGGAAGTAGTTGCAGTCAACACAAATTTCCCCACATTCACCTGTTTTGATAAATTCTGTAATGTAACAATTTTTAAATTTATTTTTGTACATATTGAAATTAATTCCTTTTACTGTGATACTCTTTTGCCAGCTGCATTTGGGCCTCAAGCAACGGCATCGCCTTTTGGCCAAACTTCAGGTATCAATCTAGCCAGATTCATTTCCTAAAAAAACATGGTTGATCAACAAAAATGCTAGCTCCGAGAGCTGGAAATTTGATTTAAGAACAAGAAACTTTGATATAAGTAGAAATAACTAAACTAACTGACTAACTAACTAAAAACTAGTGTGAGCTGTGTTGGTGTTTCTAATGAAACAGTTGTCACCTTCGCTTTTCTGCTGCTATTTGTGTGTGTGTGTGTGTCTGAAGCTACTGAATAAAATTATAACTTACATTGCCTAGGGTCCAACTTCGAAAACCTTACGGTTCCTTTAGCCTCTAGTCATTTCCTTGAATGTAAAGCATTTTTTTCATAAGATATAATGTGAAATAAAAATAAATCAGAAAGAAAAAATGCACTAATATATATATATGTAAATATTTTGAAATATGGAAACGGAAATAAAGATTATTATTATTACAGTAATGATAAAAGGGTAAATTATACACTGTGAAAAGATTTACTGAAAAAAACTGAAATTTCTTACTGACATTTCGGACGCTAGTCCTTCGTCGGAGGAAAAGATATAATTAGTTCAGTTGAGAATCAGACTCACCACCTCAGGCTTGAACTATACAGCGATAAAAGTGTGTACCAACCATGTCAGTATGAAAATATAAATATAATTTTTTTTTCAGCCGCAGGAACGAGTGGAGGAGGTCTATTCGGCAGTTCCAACACCCAGACGACAGGCTTTGGAACATTTGGACAGACACAACCAACAGGCACAGGACTGTTTGGTGGCAGTACTAATACCGGTACAGGAACAAGCCTCTTCCGGGGAGGAGGAACTACGACAGGAAGTTTGTTTGGGCAGCCAACTGGCACAAGTACAGGTATAGTATGGATAAAATAGTTTTCGAAGGTTATGGGTTATGTATTTATAGACCTGTCACTAGGTAAATTCATATGCCACTGATGGCGAGCAAAAATGGGAAATTGCTGATAAAATATTTGACTCCAAAGACTATTAACTTGACCACTTTTGAAAAACATGGTAATTCACAAATATTTTTYGAAGGCGAAGTGAATATCAAGGAATATTTACCGGGATGTGAGTCTTTGAGCTGTGAGGTAAATGATCATTATTTCACAGATGATAAACTCTTTTATTCATTTATTTATTTATTTATTCAAAAAGGCTTTGGAACTACTGGGACAAGTGGGAGTCTCTTTGGAGGCAACCCCTCCTCAACTGGTTCAACTCTTTTTGGCCAGTCATYGACCTTCAATGCTGGACAGCGTCCTGGTACCACAGGCAGTTTTGGAGGAACAGGTAGGAAAAAACGCTTAAAGCATTGATCTTAAATTTATTTTTTTATTCATATTTTTTAAAAGTGCAGTTTTATAAATATCAGTCCTTGCCTCTAGCTYGTGCAGTTTAAAAATCTTGATTTTAAACTGCACKCGGGATATTTTTTCCAAGCTGCACTCAAACCCGTTCCATTTCCTATATGAATGTCTACTCAGGGCAGAATTGAACAAGGATTTAATGAATTGCCTTCACTGAAACAGACAGTTGTTTGATCCATGTTATATGTAATATATACAGTATGAGTGGCCCTGTTGTATCAACCACAAGCCRAAGGCAAGTGATTGTATATCTGATACAACACGGCCACTTATATTGTATATTATTTATGAAACGTCTAGGTGTATACATTCATGTTCTACTATAATTTTAAAGATAAAATTGAATTTGACTAAGAAAATTGAAGTTAAAGTTTATCCAAATCAGGACAATTTTGTATCAGATATACAACCTTCTCCACGAACAATGATTTCTATTGTGTCTTCCTCATGAATTATTCATGAGTTTTATAAATATAAATACTGTTACTGCTGTTTTGTTTAATAGGTAGTTCTCTATTTGGTACACCATCTACTAATACYACTACAAGTGGGTTATTTGGGGGAGGTACTACTGGTACACAACAGAGCTCTCTCTTTAGTGCTGGAACAACTGGATTCCAAAGTGCAGGTAGGGTTGATTGTATATAACCACAACAACAACAATGAGTTAACAACAACAACGACACCTTCATTGATAGATGCAACACTGACAACAGCAACAATATTATTGACAACAAAAGCAATGATAACATCATCATCATCATTACCGTCTGCATCATCAATAGCTACAACAGTAAAACTGCAATAATAATATTGCAAGTGCAATGAGAATAACAGCAATAGCATCAACAGTACCTTACATGTACAGTACCTTTGATTTCTTGTTTCTTTTAGGGTTTGGATCACAATCAACAGCCCAGGCAGGAACACCATTAAAGTTTAATGTAAGATTTATAATATTACACAACATGTCAATGATCAAGTTATCCCTTTCACTACTAGARGCTAAAAGGGYCCAACACATGCTCTTCCTGGAACATAATTAGGGTGTTTTTYATTTCTCAATATCAAAATGAAAAACATATGCTTAGTAGATATTGAGGCCTTATAACACATTAAAGCAGTTGATAGAATRTGATTGGTTAATGATCCAAAAACAATAGCCCACATGTTTCAACACATAGAAATGTCCTGGGGGACATGTAATTGAAAAGCCAAAATTGTGTTTTCAAGTATTTAGTATTCTGTATTGTGACTGGGCTTGTTTGTTGTTACAGTACAGCCCAGAAACATGTACAATTACTGCRATTTTTGATCACACCAAATKCTTGCAATCTGCTCRCAATTTGTYTRCACCTTTYTGTATTGTCRTTCGCCATTTGATAGCAATTTTATCGCTTGCACTATAGGTTGTAAATGGCACAGATCAGATGGTCAAAAATGGTATCACCACTACAGTCAACACAAGACATCAGAGTATCACTGTTATGAAAGAGTATGAAGGCAAGAGTTTTGAGGTAATGATAATAAAATAATAAAAATATACTATGAATATCATAAATTACATGTTATTTGTCAAAGTCACAGGCAGCAGGGCTTTCAGAGTGTTTTGGAGTAGGTGATCATGATCACAGCCAGCTACTTTAGAATTATATGAACATTTCTAAAGTAGCTGGCTGTGATCCGCTACAAGAAACAGAAACTATTTTAAAGGAAAAAGAAAATAGCAGGTTGTTAACTTCAAAACAATCGCTGGAGCTCTGCCGGCCGCTGGCATATTCTGAAAGCCCTGACGGCTGAGGTCTTGATGATATAGGGATATGATTCATGATTCAAATTCATATTTCTTAATACTGAGAATAGAAATTTAATTCTGCTTGTTAAATAGAAATATTTTGATTGCCATTAATACCTTGAGTAAACATGACATTAAAATGATTTCTAGAAGAAAACTAGAATATTCCTGAAATATTTACCTTATTTTTTCTTTCAGGAACTGCGTTTTGAAGATTACTCTCTGGGTCGCAAAACAGGAGCCAGTGCTACRGGAGGCTTATTTCCAGGGTCAACAGCGACAACGACAACCGCTTCCTCTGGAGGACTGTTTGGTGGAGGTGCCACCAACTTCTCTGCTTTTGGTCAGCCTAAAACTGGATTTGGAAATACAGGTGGGTYGATCCTGAATCAGGATAATTTGATAAGGAAGTGTGGGTCATTTGGTTACGTAATAAACTGTAAAGAAATGTAACCTTATCTAACCCTGAAACAACCTCTTGGCATATCTAAGTCAGGAAATGGCCGAGGAATTTCCCATGTTGGGTTTTATGAAGGGAAAAACAGAGAACTTAGTGAGACCTAACAAACTCTACTCACATGTGATGCTGAGTCCAGGAATCCAACCCAATTTAGACCCAGGAGAAAAACACTTGGGTCAAGGGTGAGACCTAACAAACTCTACTCACATGTGATGCTGAGTCCAGGAATCCAACCCAATTTAGACCCAGGAGAAAAACACTTGGGTCAAGGGTGAGACCTAACAAACTCTACTCACATGTGCGCTTGTGATTTTGAGTCCAGAAATCAAACCTGAGACCYGAGAGGTGAGAGGTGAGTAAATTACCACCAAGTTTGAATCCATTGATTTGCAGTAGTTGGTTTGTTAAGTTCATTCCCCTGGGAATTATTGAAATTATTGATATTAATAATATAGTCCTGTTGGTTCCCTTGGGAACATGGGCCCTTCATCATTGTCCTCCACCTCACTCAGAGTGCTCTGCTGTTTTCTTTGCCTCTACCAATTTGATGTTTGCATTYTACAGTTCTGCCATATTGATAATAATTATACTGCATAACCATTGACCATAGAGTATTTCTTGTYGTTACTGTTCAACCCTTTTTAGGAGGAACAAGTTTATTTGGTCAACAAGCCCAAACTTCAACAGGAGGGTTGTTTGGCAGTAAGTCAGGAGGAGGGCTATTTGGAACAAATACAACCTCAACTGCTACTTCAGGGTTTGGTACCGGTGCTTTTGGTACCCCTGCTTCTGGTAGCCTGTTTGGACAAACATCCAGTACTGGACAGACTGTAAGTATTAGGAAGCTAACTATAGTAAAAAAATAGAAGGAAGGAAGAAAAAAGGGAGTGGAGAATGGAGGGGAAAAGGGAAGAAAAATGGAAGGAAGRAAAGAAGGAAAACCTTTGAAGTATTCAATAGCGCAGCACAGCCGTGATGTCATAAAAACGAAGACAAAGGCGAAATTTGGACAAACAAACTTACAAGTTTACTTTCAGCAGATAATTTTCACAGCCCATCGCAGTTGATCTTAGTTTACATGGGTTATTATTGTAACTTTAAGTACAAATAATAAAATCGGTTCGTATAATCCTCGTAGCGGTTAAACAGAATGCAATGCTTGTCCGAATCTTTAAGCTATTTTTAGAATCAGCGCGCAACGCTATTGTTTAGTGGTAATGTTTGAAAAGAAACATAATAACATACCTCAACAAAGAAACTTATTCTCTACTTATACTCTATGTATATCCAAGCTAAAAAGATTTATTGACTATAGCTTTGGAGTGTATTAATGGATGTATTTCAATAAGTATAAATTATATGTATATATCTTTAGCCTGGGTTGTTTGGTACAACCACAACAACTCAGTCTGGTGGACTGTTTGGTTCTGGGACAACTGGTTTTGGCCAGCCTGCTTCTTCTGCCGCGACTGGTCTCTTTGGGCAAACCGGATTTGGAAACACAGCACAGGTAGTTCATGCTTTCTTTTTTACTGTTTGATAATTTCAATAATATCACAGTATACAAATAGGTGTAGGTAGAGTTGACCTTTTGTGCACTAAGCCAGGAGGCATAAGCTGCAAAACCTAGATGCATTTTCCACACATATTGGAATTTGTTTGTTAGACAGACATATTTGTAAACCCTTGTATGAAAGTATTCAAAGATGTCTAAGATGGCCATTGTGGCAAGTGAGAGGATAATTTCACTTAAAACAWACTCAAATCACATATGATTCAGTTCATGCTGGGGAACCAACCTGTACCATAGTTGTGAGAGGCAAGAGGTAAACCACTACGCCACCCATTGAATTTATTTATTGTTAATGAATTTGCATGGTGGTGGTAGTAATCATTGTGATTGGATATTAYTGTTAACAATGACATGGTGATGGTTGTGATATGAGTATACAATAATTATTGTACAATGTGACRAGATGTAATATATCATACTCACAGAATATTGTATTATCTTCATTCAAGACTGGACTGTTCAACAGTAAACTTGGTGCCACAAGCACAGGATTTGGCACATCCACGAGTGGTGGTCTCTTTGGAGGTGCTAATCAGCTAAACAAGCCAGCAACAGGATTTGGGGGTCTTGGGTCTACCACAGGATTTGGTACTGGTGCTACCGATACATCCCTGTTTGGGAAGTCAGGATTTGGTACGACTAGTACTCTAGGTACTGGCTTTGGTACTGGTGCAACAGGTACTGGACTATTTGGTAGTGGGACCACAGGCCTGGGTACCGGACTTACTGGGGGACTGGCACAGACAGGTAAGTCATGGATTATATTTTACAAACTCTGTTTGAAATATGTGAAGAAAAAGTAGGAAGAATCCGGCTATTTGTGCTTTGTACCACACTTTAATGCACAAAATGCATACTGCCCCCTTGTGGAATCTTAAAATATAAATGATGTTATCCTAGAATCTTGGCTGCAAATCTTGCTGATCTGTTGCATGTTTTTCTTCATGTTTTTAATGATCACAAACTTAACTCAAAGTGCAAGAAAAATATAATTTCACTATCATTGGTTCTTGAGGTATTGGCAAGCCAAGGAAAATATAAAATTTTACRTTCATTTTTTTGACAGGTTTTGGCTCCACAGCATTAGGCCAAGGGTCTGGCTTAAACTTTGGAGGAAACAGTTCACTGCTAGGGTATTTCCACTTTTCAGAGTTAAAAGGAAGGTAATGTTAATGTTCCCGGTACAGAATYCAAGTACTTACGTGTATGTATGTATACTAAAGTTTATTTCTGTCTTTTAGAAATCAGAACAATGCTCTCCTACAACAGCAACAGTTACAAATGCACCAACAGATTCTTGCGCTCAACAACTCTCCCTTTGGAGACTCCAAGCTGTTCAGAAATTCATTGACAGTAAGTACAACAAGCACTTGAAATCTTTCTGGATGTGGCATGTGTTGGAATACTCCAGTTTCTGATGCTCTTTGCTCAATTTGTTTTCTAAAGGAAAAAGCTAAAAGTGAAAAGGCAGTGACAAATACTACAGCTTCATCAAAGGTCTCATCCCCTTCACATTATAAGGTAATGGTTTATCTTATGAATATTTATTTGATAGGATAGCTATATTTAACATGCTATGATTGGCTGCATTATGGGAAGAAAGAAAAAGAATATTTTATATAATGGTGCAGGCATGCAGCATTTTGAGCTACTCTTGTGCTACCATTGCGTTCTCTTAATTGATGGGTACATTATTAGAAGTATTCCCAAGAGATTGAGTCAGATGACAAACACATGGCAGCCATCTTGGTATTACCAATGAAAGCTTTTAATCAATCTTTTGTTAAATACCACTAACATGGCTGTGATGACATAACATGCAATTAGAAAATTATCCATAGCCATCCAGAATGAATTTCTTGTTTTTCATAATGATTTTCCTTTATTTTCTTACAAAGGTTTCTTCTAAGCTTACAGCTAAAATCAAGCCAAGACCCATAAACAGCCATACTATGAACAAGGTTGGCCCTTTTTCATTACTTAATTTGATACCCCATTCACACCAAGGCTTAAACATGTTTTAAAGTGGTTTAACTAAAAAGGTTTCGAAAACTATCTACGAACACTGCACAATATTTGGTGAAATAATGCATGTAAGCTATCCTTTGTCTTGCTCTGATAATATTTTAGAAAGTTTCATTATATTGTCAGTAGATTTCTAGTTTCTCAATTTTTTCCTAATGAAAACATAGTTTAACTAAAYGTTTAGGTGTGAATGGGGTATAAGAATCAGTTCGGACTGCATACAAGTCATTACATTAATCAGATTGATGTCAAAATATTTTGTATTCTTGTAGCTGAAGCTCTTTGAGGGTTTGGATGATGAAGTGGGCCTCAGCCCTGATACTTTTGTTCCCCGAAAAAGCGTTAAGAAACTGGTCATAAGAAACAGAAATGGTCTTGAACAAGTAAGAAAAGATAGTGTTTATCCTCACCATCTCTTTCTTTCACTTTTCATTTTTTCCTGCTTTCCCATCTCCTTCTCTTTCTTTCCTATTCCTTTTTTCTACTTTCTTTTCCCTCTTATTATCTCTTTCCTTTTTTCACTTCCCCTCCTTTCCCTTTCTCATTACCATTTTGTTTTATTCTCTTCTGGTACAATAAATGGCCTCTTAAGATAATTTGGCTAAAAAACTTTTGTTTTCTTTATACAGGATTCTCCCCTTACCTCAGGTGGTTTGCAGCTGCGCCCTTCAGACAACGACGAATCAGAAATAAGATCAGCAGCATCACCTTATCACTTCTCCTCACAAAGGCCGTCAACATTTTCTGCCGACACTCCACAAACACCTGCTAGCTCAGCCATGATGAGTGACCCAAACAAAGACAGTTCTAGTCCTATGGGTGTCCGTTTCTCTAGAGCTGGAGAGAAGAGACTTGACGATACTCTTGATGATCTCAATGTGAGGCAAAATCATTCTGCGGTAACCGAGAGGGACACAGAAACAGATGAGATTGAAGGAGAAGATGATGGGCTAAGGCTGGAGCCCTGTGGTATTATACTAACAAGGTATTATTTTGATATGTTATATTTATAATTAMAGGAAAAACTGATGTTAGAAATCAGTAACCCAGTAGTATTCTGTTATCTAGATAGAGAATTAATCTCTTTGGCATTCAACTTTAACATGGAATTTCTCAGTCAAACTCAAGCTTAAAATTTTTGGTAGAACATGAAATTTTACTCCCAAACATTCGATAAGATATAGAGTTAAAAAATATTTGCGTCCCATCTTTTTGGGCTACTCTCTCTTTACAATGGCTAACCTTGACATATATTGTATGTATTGAGTGTAATRTTTTCCCATTTCAGACCATTTGTCATTCTCTATAGTGTCATAGTTGTTTTGTTTAATGGTTGTGCATGGAAAGTTAGATTTATGAATGTGGATACAACTTAAGCAAAAAGTCTTTTTCCCACAGAGAATGACATAATCTGTAATGGGAAAACATTACACTGGAGTTAACAATAATTGTAAAATGAATACTGATGATAGATGATTTCATTGACAGGCCTGAGTATTACACGAAGCCATCAATACCTGAGTTGAATGAAATGATTGATGACAWTGGTGAAATATGGGTGACGGATTTTGTTGTGGGCCGGGACGGTTATGGAGAGGTAAAGTTTCTGGGTAAAACTAATGTTGCTGATCTCAACCTTGATGAGATAGGTGAGTATTGCATCTAATAATGTTCTTTCTCTCTCCTTATTCTGCCGCCCAACTATTCATCGATCCATCGTTCCATCTATCCGTTCATCCCATCCATCCATCCATCCATCCATCCGTCCATCCATCCATCTATCCTGTTCTGTCCCATCCACCAACTGATTGGTCCATTGACTCATCTGCCCCCCCCCCTCCCCCCCATGCATCTGTCTATCTGATGTTGTTCATCCATCCTTTCCATCCCATCCAGCCACCATCTACCTATTTATCCATTTTTTTGTTTTTCATTATATTTTCATTGATCATATGTTCATCGCAGCTGGCATAAAGAACAAACCTCACTCCTTATTCCTGCTTGTTTTYCAGTTTTCTTCCGACGTCGAGAGATTGAAGTCTACCCAGACAGCTACCCAAACAAACCTCCTGTCGGACAGGAATTGAATAAGAAAGCTGAAATCACCTTACTGAAAGTTTGGCCAAATGACAAGAACACACACCAGCCAATCAAGGTAATGGCTGCACATGAATTTCATTTGTGTGATTTGATTTCTGGTCTTTGGGTTACCACTGTTTTCATTTTGCTACACACTGATTGAATCAAATGTCACAGCAGGTTAAGTGGCAGCAGACTACTGTCAATCAAATTAATGGTTAGAGTACGGTTGCCATTTACTTTTATATACTCTACAGGTTGATGTATTTGACTGGCACTAGTCTGTTGCTTAAAAAACTTGTTGTGACTTTTGTTTTGATCTGTACATCACAATGAAAAATGTGCTGTAGCATATTGTAACCTGAAACAATCTCTGGGCTGACCTCAGACCAGGGCTTTCTCACACATTGAAGTGAGATTTTTGGATTTTTTCCACCCAAAATTTGGAAATTGAAATGCTGTTATTGTTATTTTAGTCAGAACTTAAAAAACAATGGCTGATCAGTTGTTGGTCATAATTACAGGCCAAAAGGCAAAGATTTGACTGGACGAGGTCTAATTCTCTCTGGACATTGTCATTTTTTCACCCAAAATTCTGGCTGTGACTTTAGTTTTAGCCCTGTTTCCAGTCAGGGCAGACTTCTTTTGTAAATTTTCCCCCTTGAATTAATTTTTCTTTCCATTTTTCCATTTTCCCCTAGACACCAGAAAGACTCAGACTTCAAGGATGGCTGGAGAAAGTTGAAGCTGCTACAGCTAAACTAGATGCTTGTTTTGTTGACTACAGACCAGAGTCTGGTACCTGGGTCTTTACTGTAAGTATTTAATAGACCACCGAGCTTAGATACAATCCATGTGAACAGTCCATGTGAACAGTACAATTGT